GGCTCCACTCTCTCCTCTTCCCTCTTAGTTTTTGCTCCCTGGTGCTCAGATCAGACGTGCCTCTCTCCGCAAGCTGTAGCTTCGGTGCTGTGCTCTGAAGTGCATTCTTCTAGGGGTGGGGATCCAGGTAGCTGGGATTGGGGCTGGCCCCTTAGACCTCTCTATTGTTTTGCTGCTTCTTGCTGGTATGTTGCATTCACATCTTGGTTGACGTCTGATCCCTCCCTCCCTCTCCTGTAGAGATATATATATTTAAAAAATCCCTCCCCTCTGGTGGGTTAGGGCCCTGTTCCCTGGCTACCCCTGTCTTTTCTTCTTCTTCTCTCTTTCTTTCCCCTCCATTTTAGGTGGCTGCCATATGTTATCCCTGGATTGGGTCTGGCCCCTGCTGTACTAGCTGCACCTCACCCCAGTAATATATACATAGAGTAGCTTTTCCATTGTGCCCCTTTTGCTTTTGAAGCTTACCTCAGTGGACTCATGTTGTACTTGATATTTTGTGCTTGGCTTACTTTGCTTAGCATAATTTCCTCCAACTCTTCCCATGTGGCGATGTGCCTTTCATGCATTCATCACATACCTTTAGGAATGTGTTGTACTCCATTGTGTGTACCACGGATTTTAAATCCATTCTCTAGTTAGAAATAAATAAATAAACAATAAATCCATTCTCCTGTCGATGAAAATTTAGGTTGCTTCCAACTCCTTGTGATTGTGAACTGCGCCACAATGAACTTTGGAGCACAGACACATGGCCATGGTTTGTTTCTTTCCTCTTCTGGGTATATGCCCAGTAGAGGGACTGCTGAGTCCTATGGTACCTTTCCATCTGTTTTAGATTTTGCCAAATTGATTTCCATAATCGTTGTACAGACCTACAGGTCCACTAGCAGTGGATGCTAGTTCCTATCTCACCAAAGTCCCTCCAACATTTGTTACTTTCTGATTTTTTGAATTGGGCTATCTTTGAGGGTATTAGGTGGTATCTCATAGTTGTTTGAATTTGCATTTCTCTTATGGCTAATGATCGGGAACACTTTCTCATATATTTATTAGCCATTCAGATTTCTGCCCTTGTGAAACTTCTGTTCAGTTCTTTGCCCACCTTCTCAATGGGCATTTAGTTTTTTTCCAATTAGCAGCGTATTGTAGATTTTAGTAATAAGGCCATTGTCTGAAGCGTCATTGCTAAAGATGTTTTCCCAGTCTGTGGACTCTCTTGGTGAATTCTTTCTATGTACACAGGTGTTTTATCTTCAGTATATCCCAATTGTTAATTTGTGCCTCCTCTGGATTTGTGTGCTTCCCTATTTCTGATAGCATATGCATTCCCTGCACCAAAGTTCTCAGGTTTGTTCCAATTCCTTCGTTGATGGCCCCAATAATTTGGGGTTTTACCTTGAGGTCTGTGATCCACCTTGAGTTTATTCTTGTGCATGGAGTGAGGTAAGGGTCTTGCTTCATTTATCTGCAAGTAGATATCCATTTTCCAGCACCATTTGTTGAAAGGGCATCTCTTTCCCATTTGATATTTTTTGGGCCCTTATCAAAGATCAGTTATCTGTATGCAGATGATTTTATTTCTGGGTTTTCAATTCTTTTCCATTGTTCTGAGTACCTCTCATTATACCAATACCACCCTGTTTTGACCACTGTGGCTGTATAATAGGTGCTAAAGTCAGGAAAAGCAAGCCCTTCAACTTTGTCCTTCTTCTTGAGGAGTTCTCTGCTAATTCTGGGTTTCTTCTGTCTCCATGTGAAGTTGGTGATCTGTTTTTCCAATTGTTTGAAGAAACTTGATGGTATTTTTATCGAGATGCATTAAACTTATATAGTGCCTTGGCAGAATTGACATCTGTACTCTATTGAGTCTTATGAGCTATGAGCATGGGATATTCTTCCATTTGTTGAGGTCACACTTGGTTTCTTGTAATAGTATTCTCTAGTTTTCCCCATTCAAATCTTTTGTTTTTTAGGTCAGGTATATCCCTAGATATTTCAATTTTGCTTGGCTATTGTGAAGGGTACTCTTTTTTTGATCCCCTCTTCTGTGGTCTTGTCCAATGTGTATAGCAG